CTCAGGGAAAGTTCGCTGGTCTCTGGGAGTGTTCAGTCAGGGTCACACAACCCAGTGGGATTACTCACATGGATCATTTCTGTGAAGAGGAGGGGAAGCGGGAAAACGCATGGGGATGCTTTGTACAAACCTCAGATCAGTGTCCTTGTGTCTGAGCAGAGAAAAAACATGAAAGAAAACAAGGGAGCGGGATGGGAAAAGGAAGTCTAAATTTATCTGTGAACCTTGTACAGATATTCTCCACTGTTTGAAGACACTCTCCTCCTCCCTCCACCTAAAACATCCCACCTTTTGTGCAAAAAAAACACTTGTACATCCTTAGAGAGTGAGCAACCTTTCCCCTAGTTCTGTCAGGGAGTCAGACATCCCTCCTCCTCTTCAGTCATCCTCTCCACCCCCAATCCCTACACACAACCCCCAACCTCCACTCATTGTAATGAGTAAGAAGTGTGCCAAAGTTCAGGACAACCCTTAACAACTGGCCACCGAGAGTTCAGCCTCTGGAGGAAAGGTTTTGAAAAGACAATGAGGTTTTATGGTTCTGCAGGTGACTGGCATGTTTACACTGAAACAATAACCAGTAAACAACTAATTAACTGAAAATAACAAATTAATCTTTCTTGTTTTTGTAGTATATGGCATGTACATTTATATTGTATGTGATGCATCCCCTCTCACCACTCTCTGATTGCTCTGCTGCTGACTGCTGTGCACGTGAAGGAGATGTGACCAACCAGAGAGGAGGGCAAACAGAGATGTGGGGAGAAAGGGGGTTGAGGAATGTAAAGGGTAGTGTGTAACTCAATAGCCTGGAAGGCCAAGCAGCCATAAAGGGGGGAGTCTGCTTGGGAACTGGGAGGAAGATCATATGGTATTTATAAAGGAGAAAGACATTCTCACTCCTTGTTAAGCCTAAGTCACAGGCTCTGTACTCATGTATCTCCAGACTGCTGATAAGCTCCCTCTTATTTGCAAACACTCGACTCTTGCAGGAGGAAGAAGCCACCGCCAAGAGGTTCCCTAATGACCTACTTATAAGAGCATGGTAAACAAGCTCTGAAAATAGCATCTAAAAGTGCCTCAAAATAGGAAATGTACAAGAAAAGAAATGTTTGGATTCCTGAAAGTCATGACTGCAGTTTGCCAATCAGCCTCAGTTATACAAACCAGGTTTTTAGCTGTCTGACACGTATTAAATTAGGTGCATAAAAGCTGAAGAAGAACATGCTGTAAATGTGTAACGTTTAAACAACAGTGCTGGTGGTGTAGGGGGGAGGTGACCACACTGTTTAGAGTGAAGCCTGTACAGAGCTGTTTGTCTCAACATTAGTGTTTTTTCCTCCTTATTTTTCTTTCAGAGATGGCATCAGACTGTCATGAGCTGTTCCTGAGTGGAGAGACCACCAGCGGGGTCTATACCATACAGCCAAGAAACACAAAACCCTTTAATGTCTTCTGTGAGATCACAGCTGGTAAGTGGAGTGAGCCCTTTTTGTTTAATTCAGTGAAGCTTAACCAACAGACAATAAGTCACTTGTTTCAAAGAGTAGTTTAAAGTCTCCAAGCGGCTCTAGAAGCTTGTTGTTTTGGGTGATAAAACCTGCTCTGTCCGTCCTTCTATCCAGATGGTGGCTGGACAGTGATCCAGAGGCGTCAGGATGGCTCTGTGGACTTTGACCAACTATGGCAAGCCTATGAGAAAGGCTTTGGCAGCCTGAATGGTGAATGCCCTTTTGACTTTGATCTCACTGTTACCACCTCCAGCACTGGGCTGCTTAGTTGAGCTGGGCTGGTAGGATCAGATTGGTTCACTCCAGTGTTGCAATGTTTACAACCACAACATCAGGAGGACATGACACGGACTCATTTAATGCGAGTTTCTTTTGCTTCTGTTCTGAGGGCTTTGGCTCTGGTATGAAGTCTTCCAGACTGGGAGACAGTCTGGGAAATTGTGAGCAATACCTCATTAATGAGGCACCAAGAAAATAAAGAATAGTCCAAAATCTATTGTGGAAAACAGCAATTTTTCAGCTGTGAGTAGTTTTCTCATTTTTTATCTCTGTGTATTTGTCTGTAGGAGAGTTCTGGTTGGGTCTAGAAAAGATCCATTCCATTGTAAAAGATGGTGGCTACATCCTCAACATTAAGTTCTCCGACTGGGAGGATGACACCACATCTGTCCGCCTCCCCTTCCAACTGGGCGGAGAGGAAACCAAGTACTCAATCCAGGTTCAGGAGGCTGGCACTTTCAGCACCTTGGAGAGTTCCCTGGGACCTGACGCCACTTCTGGCCTGTCCTTCTCCACCAGTGACCAAGACAATGACCAGAAAAATGACACCAACTGTGCCAAACACCTCTCTGGTGAGTTGCAAAGGAGAGTCACAATGATAAATGCCTCCTCTGGATTATTTTCCAGTTTCTAATTTGAGCTCAAATGCAGCATCTAATCCGATATTGTTCTTTGTCTTTGTAGGTGGTTGGTGGTTTAGTAACTGTGGACACTCCAACCTAAACGGTAGATATTTCCAGTGCCCTCCACCTAAGCAGCGGCACCAGAGGAAGCAGGGCATCTTCTGGAAGAGCTGGAGGGGCCGCTACTATCCTCTGAAGTCCAGCGTGATGATGATCGCCCCTGCAGTGATTGAAACAAGTCATAAAGAATAGACCGTGACAGAAAGAAAAGATCAAGAGAAAGAAATAGATTTTGGACTATTCTTTATTTTCTTGGTGCCTCATTAATGAGGTATTGCTCACAATTTCCCAGACTGTCTCCCAGTCTGGAAGACTTCATACCAGAGCCAAAGCCCTCAGAACAGAAGCAAAAGAAACTCGCATTAAATGAGTTCCATATTTCCGCTGCTCTGTTCTCTGAGAGACAAGCAGGCTCCTTCCCTGCACCTACAGCCACAGATGGAAAAAGAGACAAAAAGTTCAGCAGAGCATTGTGTTGTACAATTGCAGTTGATTCCTTCTGTCGGCATGAAGAAGGGGCCACCAGTCAGGAGAGCATTACAGAACAAGTCCCAGCCTGTCCACTGTGCTGGAAGCCACAACGCACTCCCGACAAGTCGAGACTCCTCAATACACAAGTGGTGTCAGCTGTTGTTGAATTCAAATGTGGGTTCCTAGCGAGTAAACAGCACTGTGAGTTTAAAAAATAGATTAGGAGCTGCTCTAATTCTGTAGAGGACGCTTGGGAGAGTGAAATCAGGCTTATTAAACAAGCCTTTTAAACCCACTGACCAGGACCAAAGGGGGATTTTATTAAATCAAAGTCCATGAAATTAGTGTTCAAAAACATTATGTAAAGCTATACATCACTGTATACTAGGATTATAATGCAGAGACTGTGCTAAAACTGATGTTGGTAAGCAGTTTGTAGAACACTGAAAACCATTCCAGCCTTTTCTTTAATATACACTATAGTCTGTCTGCAATTTTGAACGAAATGAGGCATATTCTTCACAAACTTTAATTTTTCTGTGGAGAGTTTAATGATAAGTCATATTGACTGCTTTTAACATGGCAGGTGTAGTTTTAGTGAGAAGTAATGTATCACTTATTGTATTTGCCAGATGTAAAATAGTTTTTTTAAAGAAAAAAATAACCTCTGTTTGGCCATGATGAGCCAATAAAATTGATTTTAAACTAATATCATCTTTTGTCTGTGCACTGCATGCCACCTAGTGTGTACAATGTAAGGTTGTATCCCAACATAACACAATTAACTGTCAAAATTATAGAAAAAAATGACAAATATTTCTCCAAAACCTTAGTATTAGAGTGAAACATATGATCACAACTAGATTCACTGCAACATCATTTTTATTAGACATTTTTAAATGAAATGCAAGCTAATTTGACTGAAATGGCAAAATGTTTAAGTTGTCAATTTGTTTGCTGTTATTGGTGCATAGATGTCGTCACAAATTATTATTTTAGGTTTTAACTGCGACTTTTAAACTTGCTCATAATTTACAGGCTGCCCATGTAAACAGTCACACTTTCTCACAGATTTTCACTTATGTTGTCAAATTAAAACTGTTAAAGTTCATTGACAAACAGCTGATTTTTTAAATAGTATTATTAGATTTGTATAAAAAGAAAATCCTGAATTCAACTAAGCGTATCAGTTTTACCGATCTAACAAAACCTGTCTGGATGCAGAGATTTTCTTTAGAAACCAACTGCAGACACATACACGTGTGTAGCACTAAACCATTTCACTGAGTAACACGTGTCACATCTCTTGTATCTTAAAGACTTTATCTCCTTAGTCATAATGCCTAGAAGCAAAACTCAGCTTGTGGGTGTCAGCTTTAATTTTTCAGTGCGCTACTTTCTGCTTCTTTGTCAGGCTTACTGTTAACGTGCTTCATCCGTAGGGATCTTCCAAACACTGACACGTGGTCCAGGATCAACCTCTCTAACTTCTGATCTGACGGAGTATGCTCTCAGCTGAACTCTTGAGTATCGGAACAGCTGGTGAAAGTCAGTGTCTGGCTTTCACACACAAGGTGATTTAAAAGCTTGAAGGAAACAATTGTTACCTGCAGAAGAAAACAGAGTATAGTAGTTGTAACTGCAGGCTAATGGAATGATGGTGGTCACCAGTAGGTCCATATGAGAGTCACTTTGCTTCACACGTTCACAAGCAAAGGAAAATGTACTTAAAGTAATAAAAGGACCCAATACTGAATCTGGTGCTTTTATATTTTATACCAATGGATTATTATTTATTACTTATGTACTAATCAGCATTTATTTTTAAGTTGGTTGAGGTGGAGCTATTTTTAATCAGTTTTATTCAAGGCTGTAACTAAAGATCATTTTCCATTAGGGATTAATCTGCAGACTATTATCATGACTAATCTATTTACTTCAGAAAAATAGTGAGAAAGTGACACAATTACCCAGAAGTTGAATCAAGACACATTTGCAGTTCTTTTGTCTAAATAGTACCTCAAATTTAAATAAAGAAGATTGAAAGAAATAAAAGGAAAAGCAGCTAATCTTCACGCTTAAAAAACAGAAACCATGAAATGATGCATGAAATTTTTGTATGACAATTATCAATATAGAATTTATTGTCAATTAATTGACTAACTGTTTAGGTCTGCTTTTACTACAGGCTATTAGGTGGATCAATTTATAACCAATCAACATACAAATATACATACATACAGAAAAAAACAAGTTGTAAAGTAACTAAAGCTGTTTAGTAAATGAAGTGGAGAAAAAAACTCTGTATTTCTGAAATGTAGTGAAGTAAAGGCATAAAATGGCAGGAAAAGCAAAATACAAAACACAACTATCCCACGTTTCACATGTACTTTTTTTTAAAGGGCTCCACATTTTCAGAAATATGCCGTTTGCTTTCTTGCTGAGACTTAGTGGCAAACACACTCAAGTGTGTTTTACTGCTTTCAGTTCCAATTAGTCTCAATACACCATTTTCAGACATTTTGCTTTTTCAACTGTGACACCTGCAAATGTCATCTGTGAAAAGGTTCTATTATACCACCAGCCAGTGTCTTAGTGTTTACATGAGAGCTGCATCTGACCAAGCCTCCACCACTGCTACAACAAGGATTTTTAAGTACTCCAAACCATGCACGTGCAGAGCAGCAGATGCTTGCTGGTCCTCCTGCCCTCTTCCTTTGTGGAAAGCAGTTTCCATGGTAACTTACTGCCCTGATTGCAGTGTTAGACAGGAAGTCTCGGATTCTTAACATTTACAGGAATAGTTTAGGAAATTCCAGCTGCAAGTCTTCCTGGATACATCTGTAGGCCTACAAGCATTGCACACCTCGAATTTGGGCAGTTTATCTCATTCTTCATGGCAGATCCTCTCAAGGTCGATCAGATTGGCTGGTGAGCATTTTGCATTGCCATCTTCATAGCTCCCTACAGATGTCTGGGCTTTGGCTGGACCACTCAAGTGTTGTTTTGGAGGTATGCTTCAGGTCATTGTCATGATGAAAGGTGAATTTTCTGCCCCGTCTGTGGAGGTTTTCTTCAAGGATGTTCTTGTATTTGTTTGCTTTCTGTGCCTGCCACTGTGGAGCATGCCCAGAGCATGTTGCTGCCACCATATGGATGGTACTAACCAGATGATATGCAGTCCATTGTTTGCCAGACAAAGTGTATCCTGTTTTGCTGAGAGAATTACTTTCATCTCACCAGACCAGAGGATTTCTTTCCACTCTTTTAGTGACCATTGGGTTCTTTCTCACCTCTAATACCAAGACCCTTCTTGCCCAGATGCCCAATTTGGCCATAGGAGCAACTCTAGGAATGATCAGGGTTGTCCTGAGCTTTCTCCATTTCAAAATGAGTGAGACCACTGCAGTCCTGGGAACACCGTGCCTTGGAAATCATTTTATATCATTGCCCTTATTTATGCTTTGCCATAGTTCGACTGCAGAGATCTACAGCCACTTCTGACAGTGCTGGCCCTTTTAGACCCAGGTGTGTGTGCCTTTCCAAACGATGTCCAATCAATTCATCTTGCAACAGCTGCACTTGAGTTGAGTTCTAGACATGCGAAGGATAATTAAGGCAAAAAGATGGACCTGGCCAGAAACTGGAGTTCCACAGCAAAAGGTCTCTATAACAGATTTCAGTTTTTGATTCTTGATTTATTTTCATACCATGGTTTCACTTTGTCATCATTAGCACATAAGTGTATAATGAAGGGTAGAAATGGCAGTTGTAACCATTCAAAACTGAATCCACAACACAATAAACTGTGCAAAAAGGGATCTGAATACTTTCTGAATCCACTCTACATAACCTGTAACAGGCTGAATAAGAAGACTGCAGTAGAAGGGAGCATTTGATAGATTCATACATTTATTCATATCATGTACAAATTGTATTCTGGTGGTACAAAGCTGTTGTAAGACTCCAGTGCTCACCCTCCTGTTGTCTTTATTGCAGTAAAAAAGGAAATACCAGTATGATCAAAAATTGAGAGGTACTTTGGCAATTATAAATTATGTTTTAAAAAGGCAAGCAGACACCTTGAGCAATGTATTGTGAGGGGAGGAGACAGCACAATGAGCAGCTTCTGTCAGCACTCATAAAAAAAAGAAAAGAATAAAAATCCATAAAAATTTCATTTTAAAACACACAATAAAAACAAATGGACAAAGGAAGAACCTCAGTTTTCTTCTTCTCTTCATCATGACAAACTGCAAAGTAACAGACTCTCAGTATGTGTTGATATTACAAGTCTGTGTGAATGTGCCTGTTTTTTACATTTAGTGTCGGAGATCATGTCTGAAAATATGTTTATAGATTCTATTTCATACCTGTGAACTATAACCCTGTTTCTAGAACTGACTCGAGTCAATAAAACAGTTGGAGCAAGGTGGGAAACATCGCAATATCATTTGGCAAAAACCATGATGGCTGCACACATGAGGATGTGGGTGAGCGATGAGTCAATATTTCTCCATATGTCCTTGTCTTTGTTCAGCTTTAAGCTTGAGACACTAAATCTCTGTGCTCGTAAGCCACACCCTAGACTGTACACGGGGGGAGCTCGTGTAAGAGAGCGCGCGGTCAAGCAAGTAAGTAACAGAACAAGATGGAGAAAGAGCAAAAGAAGGAAATATGTGAGACGACTAGTTCATAGGAGAGAGTGGTGTGAGGCTGCAGGCAGACAGTCTTTCAAAGGCAGGGTGAACATTTTGGAGATGGGTTTCGTGTGGGGGCGTCAGGGAGAGTAAAGGTGGGCATTGTGAGTTGGAGGGAACAAAGGAGGACAGAGGGGAGACAAGACGTCACTTCTCCCCTGTTGTCTTACTTCAGAGGTATTGTTGTAGAAAGTGCAGCAGCATTATCTCATAGTGCTCTCCAGACTCAGGGCAGCGAATACTGTGTCGCTCGTTGGGGTATACCTGGAAATTTGGAGGAAAAAAAAATAGACAACCACGTTACAGAGTAATCATGTGCACTAGATGTATGTATCCTATAGTTCTGAGATTGACTCTCTCTTGTATTTTATCACCATTAAAGATTGTAATGGTCTAAGCCAATAAACCAAAAACAATTATTGCTGGTTTTTGGAGTACAAACTCATGTACCTCAGATCAATAAACATGCATGTTGAAAAGTGATGTATATTACAGTATGTTGACTTTGTACTGCAAAGTTTCATATGATAGCAAAAAAAAAATGTGTGAATGGGATAAGGTTTGTGATGCTAACCTGTAGCTGGTAGGGCTTCCCAGCACGGATTATCTGTGACACGAGGAAATTGGTGTGGAAAAAGTGCACATTCTCATCTAGAAATCCGTGGAGAATTAGCAAGCGATTGGGCCTGAAACAGCCAGGATTACAAGGTTAAAATACAGTATGTTATAATATGATAAGCTTCAATGCAACATAGAGATATATAGGGTAATTCCTGAAACACATTGCCCAAAACTCCCCAATTCCTTTATGATTTAAAAAAGGAAAGTCTGTAATGATCCAAGGGAATTTACAGAAAAGGTGAAATGCTGCAGTGCTTCACTGTCTGTCTAAACAGACTTCAGCATCCATGAGCA